AAGCTATTAAAATTGTCTAGGGACTTTATACACACCCTGCATTTTACTACATTAAAAAATCTGATGTGTACACCACATGACTTCCTTGTACGGAATATTAAATTATACGCATTTTTTCTTGCATTTCATTTAAACTTATTAGATTGAATTAAACCTACTTCGCCGACAGCGCATAAACCACAATAGAATAAATTCATTCTTTAAAATTCACTTTCTTTACCATAGCGACACTCTGGCGCTAGGTTCATTTAACAGTATTATATTTCGTTCATATTATAACTCATAATGCACAAAATTTATATCATTTAAAAAATAGAATTATCTAATCGTTGCCACATGTTCTATTCAAATACTATAATAAAGCTAGAACGATGTATAAAAGAAATTAAGCAAAAAAAAAAAAAAAAAAAAAAAAAACAGTTTTTCACAAACGATTGAATATTTCTCATTCAATTAAATCAGTTTTCACTTCGGAACAAGGCAAAAATACATAAAAACTCAAAATATCTCTATTAAAAATTATGAAGTAAATTTTAAACACTTATTTTCTCGAAAAAATTCCAGAAAGGATTAAGCATGATTTAATTGGCAATAATAAATGAAGGCGTTATCTTTGTTGTAGCGAAGCTATGTTTCTATAGATTGGCAACAAATCCACTATTATGCTGTTTCAAATGTAAACAATTAATGGCCGCCATAAAAAAAATTCTTAGCGGCACTTAAACAACTTTAAAATTGTTGATAATTCTAAAAATATTGCATACAGATTTACTAAAGGCATAAAAATCTTAACCGGAAGATAAAAACAACATAATTCAATCATTTTTAAAGCAAAAAATGTACGATAATTTAAAAACATATAAGAGTAAAGAAACTGAGATCACTGAGCCGGGTAACAGAGTGGTTATATATATATAAATATATTTATAGATGTTTGGCGCGGCCGATTGCAACCAAAATACGAGGTGCACATCTACATATTATAGCAGTCCTATATACAAAATTTCAACGTTCTGAAGCTACTCGTTTTTGAGTTATGCGAGATACGTACGTACATACGTTCGTACAGACGCCACGAATAATTCTCTTCAGAATTCATTTTAAAGCAGTTTCATAATTTTTATTGAGAAAAAGAGTGTTTTATTCTGTCCTTACATACAGATATCACGGAAATACATCGTTAAATTGCATTTGAAAGAGGTCAAAATGAGATATTTTCGTTGAAATATGCTGCCTGAAACTTTTCGCGATTACAATACTTCCTTTTTACTTCGTACAAGGAAGTAAAAATGTACGAGTTAAAAATAATTTCCTTAATAAAATTCAAATAAGTTTTACCATGCTCTAATGAAGATGCTAATATAAACTTTCCATAAACTTCCCAACAGAGAACAGTATATTTTTCGATTAGACGGAATAATGTTCATTAATTAGATTAATATACGTACGTACACGTTTTATCAAAATTAGCTGCTCACGATCTCGATTAATGCCTATTTTTTGTTACCGAAAGAAATTCAATAATATTTTTTACTTTTGCAAAAAGAAAAAAAAAATCGCTGCCTTTATTTTGTGTAATGTCTGATGAAAATGTATGACATATAACTATGAAAGACCATGCAAATTTAAAAGTTGTTGGAGGGTGTTTTCATTGCCTAAGAAAAGGTGCACAATGGAAAATGAATGAACCATAGCGTATTTCCGAAATGAACCATAGCGCACCATAGCGCATGTGAAGCCGTTCACATCAGTCATATCAGACGGCAAACTTAATCTTTCGAAATCGAATCAAGCAGACACAGAAGCTGTGGTTGCAGTGTGTTAATGGATATAAATGATGATATACTCTCTCTTAGAAACCACAATACTCTTGTGGAGACATTAGGTATTTTTGGAAGCAGGCAAGATGAAAAATTAGCAACGCCTTCGCCGGGAATCGAACTTTGGACCTCTGGAATATGCGCCCAGCGTGCAGACCACCACACCACGAAGGCATGCCAAAAAGGCGGGAGAAATACTTTATACTCTTACATACGCCAACCGATGCCCGCCAAAACTAATTATCATAAGCCCCCCCAGCATTTAGCTGAAGATATATTTTTAAACTGAAAAAAATGCAGTCTTCATCAAGGTGCAGTCACCCTTATTATGGTGACCTTTATGTACCTTTTTTATTTAGCACCTTTATGCAGCCTTATTATTGGTACCTTTATTTTTCATTTGATTTTTTTATTAATCAAATGATGAAACTAAAAAGAGTTATTCAGTTTTACGTTCAAAGCATATTATTTAGATAAGTGCAATTTTTAATGAAAATACGCATTATTCCCTGTTTTAAAATAAAACTAAGTAATATTTTTAAACAATATATATATAAATTTTGTCATCGCCGTGACAATAATGTTATCACTTTGAAGTCTTTATCATCTAAGAAACATTAATTTTTAACACTTTTTCTACAGGTTTTAGATTTAATATCGCACAACATAAGGAAAGAAACAAAAATAAATCACTGAAAAACAAAGGAAATGCCAAAGAAAATAATATTGAAAAAGTGTTGTATCTTTTCTTTTTTCTTTTCTTTGTTGTATCTTTTCTTTTTTCTTTTCTTTTTTTTTTTTTCAGAGCTTTAAAAAAATCAGTTTCCTTTCCTTCCTCAAGACTTCCTTTCCGCGTAATATTTGCGTTGATACGAATTAATATGATTTCATGAGAGTGATTTTTAGACTTCCTTGAAAAAGCGCAAAAAATACTTGTCTTATCAAATATATATGATAATTTAAAAGCGAATTTTTTCATCCAAACGCTAATTACATCTTAAACTTGTAATATGATTCGTTGATAAAATATTAAAAGAAATTTAACGATAATAAAATTTCAAAAATTTTTATATAAAAACGTCATTTTTAAAAATGCGCATATCACCGTGTATTACAAAAAACGATACCAAAGACGATGAAATGATGCGGAGAAATCTTATTAATAGAATTATTAGTCTCTGTACTTCTTTTCATCACAGGAGGGAAAATTATAATAAAACCACCTAATCTTGCAAAACTCTAAAAATCAAATATTTAATATAAAATCAAATAATCAAAATATCAGCACATTTGCAAATATTTTGCAAGTTTTTCACATTTAAAAAAATAGAGACATTTACTTTTTTTTATAAATCTTTTATATTTACTTTACTTAATACTCTATAAAGGTTTATTTATTTTTTATCTATCTAGTTATTTTATGTTCAGTACCTTTATTGCTATTCTCCCATTCCGTTTTCGTGCCAGAATACAAGGTTTAGTTCGCGCGCATTAAAACGAGGTAGAAAGAGAGCCGTCTAAAAAATAGTTATCATAAGAAGATATAATATAAATATATAATGATTCCAGTAGTGTGATTTCATAAAAATATTTGACATTTCGAATTACACATATCAGGATTTCAATACATTTTCATTTAAATGAATCAGATTAAAAAGAAAAAAAAATAGTTTTTAGAACTGCGTTTATTATTTTCCAGTCACATCGTTTGCTACTCGATAACAGAAAGATAAATTTAAAAGTTAAATATCTTACGGTTTATTGAATGATAACAAGATTCGAAAGGAAAATAATAAGTACTCTGTTTAAGGTAGTGGAAACACTTTGCTTTCAAATAGCCAGATATGTGGATTAAAATTGAAAGATACATATCTTGCATTTTGTCAAATAGCAACAGTCTGGTGCGCTGGAGATAAAAATGTTTTATTTCTAACAAAGTTGCCATTTTTCACTTCCAGATAGTTGAGTTTGTTAAATAAAAATTCCTTAAATTTGTATAAGAGATCAAATAAATCAAAAACAAACTCTAAATTCAAAATTCTGACTTGGAAATACCCATGTTCAGATGGAAACTTACATGTATTAAAAATTCTGTGGCTCTAGGTTCCGTTGTTTTTCTACAGTGAGAGGAAAATTCATATATATATATTTGTATATCTATATAAATGTGATGTACCAGCTTTTTTCCGGAATAAATAGATTGGTGAAGCATCATAGATGTAGTCGTAGCTTAAATTATCAGACGATAAGTTTAAAAAACAGGATCCATTTATTATATTTCAGGAGAAAATAGCAGTTACAAAAATTAAGATCTCCGGAGTAAATAAAAAGAACTACTAATAACTGTTTGTATTAAGTTTACTGCATCGTTACATTAAAGAAAAGACCCCGATATTCCTTTGCGAGTCCTTTTATAGCCTCTGGAACGGCGGAGCTTCCAAGAAATGACGTTAGACTCGTCAGCCATTCCAATTCGCTTTAAATATTTCCAGAACATTCTGTAACTGTACGTGTAGAAAAGGCGGGAAAAACAACTTGACTACAGGGCTGTGGATTTAATTCCACGTACTTTCAAATAAGAGACCGTCGCCATTAAAAAATGAAAAGACATATTGTTAGAATTTTAAGTTTATTCTTGACTATGGAATTTTAGATTCTTTATTATTTATTTTTTAGGTAATAAATGAAGATAACGCATTGGTGGCAACAATTTAAAACGGATTCGAATACCAAAATGAAGCTGATATAAAGTGAGTTTCGTGATTGATAACACTTCTGGTGCTAAATGCTATACATATCAAGATTACATAACAGAATATCACTAACACACAGAAGTGGCTTCTAATTCTTGAAATTATTTTACATTTACAATATATGCTTAGGAAATAAAATTTAAATTTTAAGTTACGAGTTGCGCTGAGACAAATAGGTGTTATTATTAATAACGCTTAACATCATTCCTAATTTTTCAAAGCAGAAACTTCTTTTCTGAAGCGTGAAGAACTCCATCAAGATAAGATATTTTTTCATCTGTGCTTCTATTTATACAGCGAGGACGTAAGAAACTGCTAGCGCGTCGAGACATTAAACACTGAAATGTCAAATAGCGATGGAGACATTATTATACTGGGAAACAAGCCGGAATAATTCCAGCATTTTAAACAAAAGAGCCGTTCTTACCCTGAAGTCAAAGGTGCTCATGTCCCTCATGATGTTTCGCCTTTCGCCAATTAGCTGTCGCGTCCTCAGCCCATGAGCACCTTGAAGAAGTTCCTCCAGATTTTCAATGTAGTCGATGGCATTTCTGAGAATCTCAACCTTCGGAAGCCGCTGATTCGGATTTGGACTTGTTCTTCGTTTCAGGGTTTCAAATGCCTCGTTAACCTAGCGGGAAAAAGCAGACGTTCATGAATAAGAGTTTGATTCAGTGCAGGGGCGTAGCAAGAGTTTCCAGCGCCCAGGGTCAACTGAAGAATTTGCGCCCCTTTCTGTGTGCCAAGAATGGAAAACATTTCCTTAAAAGATTTCGTAGCATTAATTTTTGCCCCCTGGATGCTGCGCCCGGGGACAAATGTCCCCCCTTGCCCCACCCTAGCTACGCCACTGATTCAGTGGATGATATATCTTTATGCCTGCCATGACAAAATACTCTTTATATGGAACTAGTCGCTCGAGCCGCCTAAAACAGTTATCAGTCATAAAACAAAATAAATTAATAATTTTAATGAATCCAGCTAGTGTAAAAATATTTTATATCTCTAATTAGATATAGCACAAATCCATCAGATTAAAAAGTAGAAAAAATATTCTTAAGAACTGTGTTTATTACTTTTGAATTGCTAAGTTTGTTGCTCAATAATAGATTAAATTTGAGAGTTAAATAGCTTACGCTTTACTGAACGGCAGCACACTGGCTCGTGGTCGATAAAAGTATCTTATTTCGTGCAGTGGCAACACATTTAAATAGTTTAGTTTATTAATTATAACTGAAAGTAAATTATTTTTCATTTTTCCAAATGGCAATAGTCTGGCGCAATACAGATAAAAAGTGTTTTATTTCGAGCAGTGTTGCTACTGCTTGCTTTTAAATCACTGAGTTTGTTTACCGAAATTTCATTAAATTTGTACCAAAAATGAATCAAGAACGAAAATTCTGGCTTCGAGGTGCACTTGTTGGGCTGGATGACTACGTATGTTCAAAATTTGGTGGTTCTAAATGCTGCTGTTTTTTCGAAATACTATGAATATACAGATATGCAATACAAACAGATTCTTCATTATGTAATGGCACGCTTTACTTTTATTTAAGCAATGTACTAGTATTACTATACAAATAAATACAGTGAAACCTCTTATGACCTCTGTTCACTGATGACCACTTATGAACATGACAGTATTTCTTTAAGCATAAACAAGCATAGTTATTAAACATCAGCTTTCTAAAGAAACCATTTTAACGGAAAACCAACTTCTGCCTGGACCGTAAATGGAAAACCAACTTCTGCCTGGACCGTAATGGTTAAGCAGATATCATAATATCTAAGTTAATGTCCCCATGCTCTTTGTGAATATATATGACATGAGAGGCCGCCTCAATTTTGTAACATCAGCACTCTGTTATAAAATTTGAGTGGTTATCCAAATCACTTCAAGTATTCAGTAACTAAATATCCTGAAGTACGACTTGATGGAATTTATGAATGTATCGATGCTGTAAGAGATTTTGCACACATGTGTTATCTTATTTGTTTTCTATTTAATTTGTTCAAAGCTAGACTTCCATTAATATGCGCTACACTGCAGAGAGTCGACTTTCTAGCATTGTATCCAAATGTAGAAGTTTTATTTATCCCACTCAACACCATTTCCGTAATCCATTTATTAGATCAAGGAATCATAAAAACATTCAAAGCCTTTTATGTCAGACGTATTTACCCTTCTGCAAATAAATCACTAGAGAAGAGAAAGCTCGACACGCTAATGATATTTAAGGAGCAATTCAGTAATAGCCACAGCATGAAAATGATTAATTTCGCATGGGAAGAAGTAAATTCATTAACAATGAAAGCTGGCTGGCCTCAGCGCAAGCTAGAAGTTATCACAAATTTTAAGGAATTTCCTTCGATTAAAAATAAAGTCGAAGAAATAGTTAAATCTGCTAAAGCAACAGGTATCGAAGGATTTTCGAATATAAAAAGAAGAAATCAATGAATTAATCGAGAATGACGATCATGAAATAACGAATGAAAAGCAGGACGATCTTAAACACTCGCCGACAGTGAAAGCAGGATAATGAAGGTGAAGATAAAGTGACTTTAACTTACGAGAAGTTAAGGGAAGCAATAAAAAAAAGCATAGGAACCGGGTGCTTTTACCAGAGAGATTGGCTCAAATGAAGAAAGAAGAGAACATTTTCTAAGAGGTATTAGATAAGGCACCGCGAAACTTACAGACTTGCCTTAGTCATTGTTCCAAGTAAAAATCACCAGCTTTTTAAAATTATTTGTATCAAGTCCCCACTATTAAGCAGTACTGAAAATCCTTTCAATTGACCTTTGCTTCATTTTCCCCTTTTAATTACAACAATATTTAGGCTTGTTTAAATTATACATACTTTCTTAATTTGAGTTTCTTAACTTGACTGATATTTCCCAGAGAGTTTGGTTTAGCTTATTTGATTATGGCAAAGCACACGAGGTCTATCTGCCTAATGGGAGGGATGCCTTTGTAGGGAAACTGACTCGTATACACGTTACACATGGGAATAACCACGAAAACGTCCATGCAGTCAGCCCGTTCGAGGGATTCGAAATCCGGATGAACTACCGACGTTTAGCGGCTTTACCGATCGGCCGCTGGTAGGCCTGCTTTTCCAAGCAGTCTTAATTTTGCAGAGCGCAATTTGTCATGCACACGATGTATTAATAATCTACGCCCATTTCAACAAGGACTTACTGCCCTATGACAATGAAAAAGTGAGAGAAAATCCTCAGCTTTTATTTCGAATGATGATTCTCTTCGAATAGTAATTGTGATCATTTATGAAAGTTAATATTAACATGCATAAGACTTGAAGTCAAAGTATTAATCTAAATGACTGAATACAAGCCGGTTTGCCTTCATAAGGCTCCCCTATGACCGACTAGATAATACTGCTGAATTTTATGGTAATTTGTCTCGATTCAGGGCTCTGTGAGATAAGTTGCCAACCTTGAAATCGTATAAACCGGAAGGAGACCAAGAAAAAGGTAGGAGGTTTTCAGGCTTCCCTCTGGCATGATTTTATAGGAACTCCAATTAATAATTTTAATTCACTTTACAATCCATGGTTCAGGTTACTGAACTATTTGTGACTCATTTCTGATGTAAAATACATTAGTATTTAATTTGATGTTCTAAATTCTATATTCTTTCGATAATTTTGCTTTTTCATTTCCTTACACTTTTATGCTGAAAAAATCTCGAAGAGGAAATAAAACAGCTTTTATTTACCAAAGTACTTTTAAATACGATGAAAATAAAATTAGTAATTAATGTATATAGTATTTGTGGAGGTAAATTTTGTAATGTACCATATAATTGAAGTAAACAAAATTGAATACAAATATTAATCGATTAAACATTGGTTGAATCTTCACATAATCTACTGCAGACATTTGTAGATTTTTAAGACAACTCAGATCAAGTGAAATAAGACAAAAATTAATGAACTCTAATAAGAACAGAATACAACTTCTATTATACCTCTTTTACTTCGTCCAAACATTTGAACGCAAGTTACGAATATCAACTAAATTATGATCGGGGTGATATTCATGAGAAACAAAACCTCGGCAAGGAAGAAGTATTTCGGAGTTTTATTTCCATTTGTTAGAGAAATCGAAATAGGAACGTGGAAGGGCAGTACTTTTGAATTTTTGCAATTTATTCTAAAATAAGATTTCCAGAACTAAGTTCCAAATATTATAATATGACTGGTGCGAACTTTCCTCTCAGCTGCTTAAGTGTGAGAAACGTTTTCTAAATAAAAATCAGACTACCAGCGGCCGAGCGGTAAAGACGCTGAACACTGGTAGATCGGTCCGAGGTTCGAATCCCGCGAACGGGCTGGGTGCATGGGTATTTTCGTGGTTTTCCCCATGTGTAACGTGTACGTGTATACGAGCCAGTTGCCCTTAGAAAGTCCTCCACGAAGGCATCCCCCCCTTTAGGCAGATAGCCCTCGTGTGCTTTACCATAATTAAGTAATCCAATCCTAAATAAAAATCATTTAAGAAGTACAGAAAAAGTATACGCATTTTAAGAACAATAAATAATTTTTAAGAAGAAAATATTTTGGAATAATTAATTGCTTATTATTTAAAATGATGAATATTGTCTGCTAATTTACATTTATTCTTCTTTCAAAATGTCGCATGTAGAAAATCTGTGGATGGAAGGATATGTTTTTGAGCTTACCGAAGAGAAATATTCCTATTGCATAATTCCAAAAAGTTGTGAAATGCACGAAATGGTATTAAAGTTTTTAAATGCAAAATAAGCAACATTATGATCGGAAAAAGGAAAAACCATCAGTCATTACTTCTACGTGGAAAGTAGACTCCAAGCGAATACTCCAAAAAGGTACGTACTGTGTCTAATGTTTCTAAAGTTAAATCGTTTGTAACACGAGAAAACCCGCCGACGCAGAAATCACTTGCAAAGTCTTTAAATACATCTCTACAAACAATTAATAAAAAAGACTTCCAATTTAAAAAAGGTAAAAAAAAAAAAAAAAAGCATAATGCCTAATGCCTTTGCCGCGACATGTGGCTGAACGCAGAACAACTTACAGAACCCTACATGAAAATTATTCAGCGGGAGATAAATGGACATGCACCGTGACCCTTAATGAGGCATGGGTTTGCCTAAATGACTGCAACGTAAAACGGTGTATTTTGAAGGTATATTTGTTACCGAAAACAAAAAGAAAAAATTGGTTCTGCCAATGGCAAAGAAAGTTTCAATAAAGGGTTTATGAGTGTCGCAGAATTCTTTCATAATGGTAAATTAAAAATAAAATGAGTAGAAAAAATTTTAAAATCATCTCAAAGTGCTATCCAGAGAAAATTTTATGTGGGATATTTACAGAAGTAAATCCAATTCTTTGTTCCAATGATTTTCAAAGAGCGAAACATCATGAAGACAGAGCAATAAATCATACTTCGAAAGGTATCTCAGCATTCCTCGGTAAAATGAAGACTAATAGAGATATTGCTCATATACCTTTTTAACGTATTTCTGGGGAGTCCCCTAATGTTTTCCTATGGGTATTTGTGGCTTCGGTCTCTTGAAAAGAGCTGTTTCTAAGCGCAAACCCACCATGATTGTTGGACTCTGGAAAATAGTGGAAGATAAGGAAATCAGTACCCCTGGAATTTTTTAAGAAACTACCTTCTCTCATATAAATCACGATGCAGACTTATAGTCCAGAAAAAGACTATTAGATCAAATATTTAAAAAGATACTCTTTACATTTCAAACCTTTATTAAACGGCCCCGAAATAGTTCTAAAAATGTGTAAACAATCTCTATATTTAAGAACTATAGATGTATATTTTGCATTTAAGAAATATTTTTCTACGTTCTACATAAGAATGAAATAGTAATTTACAATGCCGCTGACGGTTTTACGAACAAAAAGCAATAAACATATTAATATAATTTCGAAATGATGGAACTAAATGTTTTCTTCAAAACTAAATGGAGTTTTACTTGAATTTATTTCCGTACATGCCATTTTGATATTTCTTGTAGTTATTCATTTGTATATCAAGGGGGAAGAACCGTCCCGAACGATAAAAGTTCTAGCTACGCTACTGCTTTTCTGCAGATGAAATTTTTAACAGAAATACGAAATCGATAATATCTGTATCCGTTAACCTTTCTTTCGAAGTAAGTCTATACTTAGCTTCAAATATTTACATTCTCTCATTTAAACCTTATCAGCGCAGAAATGAAAAGACTTCTCTACGAGCGTCTTTGGTCTGATTTTTTTCGATCCGCGCGTGTTTCGGCGCATCCCACTCACCTTTCTCAGCCGTCTCCTTTCACGCATCGTTGCGGCTTTTCGCCGGTCGACCGTCACCGTCTTTCGCTTGCATGCTTTACACGCCCAAAGAAGACAGCGTCGTCCCCCATTGCTACCATCGGTCGCCCCGTGTATCTCCAGGGGCGCTGGCCCCCTGTGAATGGAGGGCGGCGCCAGCACGTGTTGCTCGTCCTCTTCCTCCTCCTCTTCATTTGGTCCATCGTCTTCACTGCTGGAAGCTGGACGCGTGGATTGAGACTGCATGGGCTGTTGCTGGGGGAAAAAGTGGCAGTGAGACGAAGCAAAATCACCGTGACGTAGGCTGGAATAGTAAAGAAAAGAACATATTGCATCAAACTATCACACAGTTAAAGATAACACACTTTAATTTTGCAATATTGTTAGCAATGTAATTATAAATATGGTAACCCAGTGGTCACAAACTGGCGGCCCCCGATGCAATTTTATGAGGGCTGCAAATACATTTCAGTTATGTATTAGTTGCAAAAATTTCAAGATTTTAGGTATTTGAAGTCCGAGTTTACATTATTTTCCTTACCATTAGAAACGAACATGACTACCCTTCCAAAAAGATTCTAAAAATGGAGTTAATTAACTTGCATGGTGATATAAATCTTATTGAAAGATTTGAAGATACAGATTTTATTAACTTTTATTCGTACTTGGCCAAAAAAAAATAAGCTAAAAATAAGCAATAAATATATTCATTTTGTTTAGGAAGACATTTTTCCACAGTTGAAAATTAATAAGAAAGGTTTCCGATTGATCAATGAACATCCACAATCCGTGGTAAAGATAATGTCTAGTAATTACTCTCCAAGGATACACATTTTGTCAGAATCGAAACTCTTTCCCAGTATCAAATTGTACCAAAAAATAAAGAAGTTTAATTATTCACATTTCACATACAAATACGCGTTTTTATTTATGAGTCGAAGAAAACTTAATAAATAATAGAAAGAGAATAAATCGCTATTATTTATTCTCAAGTTTTGTTCCACTTCGTAAATTTTCTCTGAAAACGTTTCTGAAAAGTTTTCGTAACTTGTTTATTTATAGTTTAAACTGAAGTGATTTCTTTAATAATTTATTAAACATGTTAAAATTATTTGAAAGAAATCTCAGTCTGAAAATTTAATTCTTGGCTGTCAATATACTTCAATTACAATGTGTAACAAACCAAAATGCTTTATAGGTACCAAACTTTAACTTTCAAGAAGAAAATAAATATAATTTTTTTTTCGTTTTACATTATTATTATTATTATTGTCAGCGTATGTTTTGATAACTACTCAGTAAGCGAAATTTAAAATGTATTTAAAGTATTTTTTATTTTGTTAAAAATATTTTCTGGCACTTCAACTGTGTGCATTCGGCCTACATGCAAACTTGGGTTTGAGATCACTGTACTCACCTTCTATAATATTAAATCGAAATAAAAAAGAAAGAACAAAAGGAAGATTCTTCATCTTCATATTTGGCAAAATATCAGATCACCGATTTAAATTTCCCTTAAAACAATAGCTTTATAATGGTCGCAAGCGAAAGAGGAATCAAAATCAGCGTCATTATCATTGCTAATGAAGTAGATTTCGTATGAATTGGACGAGATCATTTTTTTAATAAGAAGCAGTTTAGAATTTCTGTATTGTATATTACTTAAATAATTAGTACATTGCTTAAGTTCACTAGCTTTAGTATTGTAAAAATTTGTGATATATTTGCTGTGTGCGCTATTGTGATGTAATAGTAAGTACAGTAGACCCCGCTTAATGTGATCCTGTTTGTCCATGGCTATTTTGATTCGGTTAGTGGTACCAGAATAGATAATATTAAGCGATGAGAAAAATTTCCTTAAAAATGTCGATGAAATTAAGCTAATTTAATATAAATACAATTAGAAACAGACACATATTTACTTTCACAACCTTTTAATTAGGAAAAGTCTTTAATAATTGATGTTATACTAATTGCGCACGTACGGGTTCGTAATAGATTGAATGCACACAGAACCAAGCTTGATAAAAGTTATTTTACCAAAAGAAACATTCTATAGTTATGGAACTTTCATTCTCTCTTCGGGCTTATACAGCTTTCCCCCGGCCGTCAAGAAATCTCTAGTACCTTTCACTTTTTAAAACTACTGGAAGGCATATGAGGGCCGGATGACAGTTACATACAAGGATCTGTTGCAATTATTTAATTACAATACAAATTACAGTTGTGCAGGGACAAGTCTAAAATGCCGCTGAATACTCGCCAAGTTTGGCAGCTTTTGGCTATTTCTCGCCAAACTTGGCGATAAAAATTAGTCACCAGCTTAGCGATATCTCGCTAATTTAGCGAGACAGCCATTTACTTCAATATACTTGCCCCTGTAATTTTCTGTTTCCGGTAGAGTTTAATCTCTTTCAAGTATTTCATATTAAATTATACAAAAAACTACTTCAAATATAATTTCGCTAAAATTATTTACATATATACAAAATTTGTAACATTCATGTTTCTGGAAATTATTTGATCAATGCTGTATTCTTAATCTTAATAATTGTACAGCAACCCTCCTTTTAGTATTTGTAGGAAATTCTCCGGTTTCTTCATCATCTTCTATAGAAATGTGATCACATAATGTGCTGGGATTTGTTTCAAAACACGACTGGCAGTTATCGTCTATCCCTGATGCTGTAACTTGAGTTTTTTTAACCAATACCCGCACAAGTGTTAAATCCCTTCAGATCCACGTTATTTAGTTTAGACGACTTTTAGTTCATTACTCAGAGACATGTCTGTCATTTAACAATTTCTATACTGTATTTCAAACTTATCTGGCGACTTCAGAATAAAAAGTCAGTACTCTTACTTCAGTTTAAAAAATTAATTCTATACTAGTTAACCTTACCGATTTGTTGACCACAATAAGCAATGCACTTTTCATGTTTCTTATAAAAATGAGTGGAGCTTTGGCAATTAGATAACAATACCTGAATGATAATATTAGAATGGATCACATTAAATTGGGCCTACTATGCATCCAGTTAGCACTGGAAAGTCCGTGATTCGATTGCTGGAAAGGACTTAGAAATGCTTGCACATTTCTCGCGTTTTGAAAACTAAGAATCTGCGCAACGGCTTCAAACGAAAATGATATATAGATGACAAATCGTCACCGTTCTGGATCTGGCTAAGCAAGCGTCGTGCCTATAAATGTTTACTTATTCAGTTGACTTCTTATTGCAGTTTTATTGTGAGGGTATCATGAAATGAAGACTGTGGCAAACACCATGGCATTATACTCGATTCAAAATGAATCTATGAGAAGTATATAAATTATGTTTCACGAAAAACTAATGAAGATGTCATAGCCTTATACTTCATCCTTAAAAGAAAAGATATTCCTTAAAAATGAACGTACCAATTGCGATTCCACGATTATAATGCATATTTTATTATATACAGTCCGAATTACTGAGCCCTGCAATAAGAGATATAAGTGTAGAATATATGCCTTAGAATTATTATGAAAGCTTTATAGCACCTTAGAAATTCTATTACACATAATGATTTAAACATCAAACTGTATAGTCAATAATATACTGAGTTCTGGCTCGCAAATGCTCTTTAGTGATGCTGAAAAATTAAATATTACATTAGGCGCCGTTTAATGTGATCATGCTCATCCACAGTTATTTCGACAATATTAACCGAATGATAACATTAAGCGATGAAAAAAATATCCTTTAAAACACCAATGGAATTTAATTAATGTAATGTAAATACATCAAGAAGAATATAAATAGACATCTTCATAGCATTTTTAATTACGAAATTGAAAACTTGTGTTTATGAACTATTCATAATGTTTCTAGAAATTACTTAACCTATGCTGTATTCCTAATCTCAATATTCGGAAAATTCCAAATGCAAAATTTCCAATGTAAATGTAAATTCCAACGAAAAATTTTATATTAAACAGAAAAGCAGCCTTAGTTTCGTAGATGTTTTCATGAAATTTTTCTTTCAACAGAAAATAAAAAATTCTGCAGATTATCTTTTCGTCTTGAGGAAGAAAGATTTGCATCTGATCGCTTTCAAAATCCATACAGTTATTCAAAATCTGTGTTAAATTAAGATTGCTTTTTTGCTTAATTTTAAATGTTGATTGAGATACAATCCAAGCTGTCTGGCGACCGAACCCCTCGCTTGGAGACATATCTCTGTCAGATGGAAATTTCATAATAAGTCCAAAGGGGCTTTTTGCCTGAAGGACTATTGTTTTCGCTTTGCGATTTTGCGTTGAATCACTATAAATGTCCGTTTCACTTTTCAAACTGTCGCCACCAAATGAGTTCCACCAAAGAGTCCTGCATTATATTTGAAGAAATTAAATAATGAAGAATCTGCATAAATGTATGAATATTTCTCGCGTTGTGATGAAACAACGGCACCTAGAGCCATCCAATTTTGAATGACGTAATCTTACTGAGAATATGGGCATCTGAAAGACCAAATTTGAAATTTGGAATTTGTTTTATGATCAATTTCATATTTTGTAAAAATTTAACGAATTTTTGAGTAACAAACTCAACGATTTAAAAGCGAGCAATGGCAACACTCTACAGAAAAAAAACCTTTATATCTCCAGCGCGCGGAACTGTGTATCGGAAATTCTAAAGATAGGCTCATTTTAAAGTTATTTTGCGACATTGCTGTTGAATTGAATTTTATGGTTTAAGTGCAAAGAACATGATATTTAATAAATAAAGGCAACACACAGAACGTTAAAAAAATGCGCCTTTGGACGTAATTTAAAATCTGAAACCTTTCAGATTTTTTAATTAGTTTTTTTATTTGTTTAATTTCTTTATTACATCGTTTTAGATTTATTTATTTTGATCTCATTTTATGAATTTATTTTATATTTGGTGATTTTACGTTAGTGTACAATATTTATTCTATAAAACTTACGTCATATGAATTGCAATGTTGTTCGCAATACGCGATATATTTTTCATGTTTTCGTATAAAATCATGCGGGACTTCAGCAAATTGATAACAACACCCGAACGAAAACATTAACTACGATGAAATTAGTCTGCGTTTATTGCCTTTAAATGAGCAGAAATATAGTTAAAAATCAACCACAAGTGAATCAAAAATAAAAATGTCTTAGAACAATCTGGCGTAAGAAAAGGTCATGGTAGGGACTTTTCTGCATTTTGTACGCGCAGTAGTATTTTATTTCCTTATAGCCTGAGGTCAGGAACTTTTAAGAGTCGACCCTTGTATAGTCCAGCTTTAATA